CGGTAATTTTGTTAGGACATTATTATCTCATATTTCAATGAAGGATAATAGCCTATAAATCCTGTTAGATATTACATGAAAAGGATTTTCCTTATAAATCCAGAACTTGCCAGAGGAAGAAGATGTTTTTAAGTTTACAAATAATTCAGTGATAGCTGCTCATACATCCACAGGTGCACCGCGAATAGGAACATCTATATGCTAATTTCTTTTGCCTTAATTTGTTTTGACATTATGACACTGACAGGTGAAGTGAATAACACTGTGATAACAAGGGAACATTTTGTCCTCAAAGTTGAGCAGGAAAAATGGATACATACACACATTCAGTATACAGTCATGGGATATACTTTCAAAACTTGTCTTCTATTTAGACATTCACCACTTTCTATTAATCCGATCGCATCAGAGGATCCCATCAGATTATCTCATGGAAATATATTTTTTTATTGGACTAAATATCGTTTAGAATGAAAAAGATGCCAAATGGGACATTGAGCCATTATTTTAAAGTGTTAAACATGACATCTGACACAACTGCATCATAGATAGTTTTGTTGTATAACAATGTGACAAGGTGTTATCCCCTTTTTAAATTGCACACAGAGAAACAGTGAAGGGCAGAAAATCTGATGATCTTAAAAAACTGAAAAAACATATGAATAACAAGGATGGTTTCATATTTTAGCTGCGTTCCCCTAGTCTTGGGTACGCTGGATTTAACAACACTTGCCCATCCTTGATTATAGCTCCTCCTGAAAGACTCCTCTACCTTCTCTCCTCCAGATTTATTTTAGAAATTGAGACATTTTGTAATGGATTTCCAGGTCACAGACAGGATGACAAAGGAGACGAGGAGGAAAATGAGAAAAGGCCACAGACTAAATACAAACTAGGAAGGAAGGAACGGGTAAAGTCAGACAGGTACTAGCAAGGGGAGGGAAAACAACAGAGTGGAATAAAAACACAGAGCCACATGAAGCACTAAACTTCCAAATCAATCTGGGAGTAACTCAAAGAAGGACCAAGAATACATTCACAAACACGAGTTGGTTACAGAGTGGAGAAACGCAACAGTCACGTGGAAGAGAAACTTCAGCAAAATTTGAAAAAAATCTAAGAATTAACAAAATTCTTTGTTATCGGTGTACTTTAAAACTATAGTTCCTAGATGGATAACCCTTAGACTCGGTCCTCTTGGTTTACTTGGTTTTTGATTAAAGTACACCGATCAGGCATAACATTTTGACCACCCTGACCCATCGAGGCGTGGACAGTAGATGTGTTGTGGTATCTGCACCAAGATGTTAGCAACAGATCCTTTAAGTCTTGTGTATTCTGACACCTTTCTATCAGAATTAGCGTTCAAGTTTTCAGCATTTTGAGCTTCAGCAGCTCGTCTGGTGGATCGGACTACGCGGGTCAGCCTTCGAGCATCAGTAATCCTTGTCCATGCATGACCATGTTGCTGGTTCACCACTGTTCCTTCTTTGGTTTCTGATAGATCACCCCACAAGAGCTGCAGCTTTCGACCCAGTCATCTTGCCTTCACAATTTGGTTCCTTGGGAATGTTCAAAATGTTTACTTGCTTCCTAATATTTCAAACTAACAAGGCTCCAAGATGAAGAGATAATCAGTGTTATTCACTTCACCTGTCAGTGATCATCATATTATGTCTGATCAGTGTAAATATAACATTGTTGTCCTGTAAAACAGAAGTATAGTGCAGCACATTTACAGTAAATGTACTTCTATAGTTAAATCTCAGCTCTCTTATCGTCTCTGTAATCAATTGCAGTTGACTACGATGACCTGGATGACTGAGAACCTTCACAGACAATTGCAGTTATGTTATTGTTTTTTGCCATTTCATCAGTTTACATAACTAATCTGTCTGATGTAAGAAGCGATCTTTACTGATTATTCTAGAAGCTTCATATGTGCAGACGTCCCACCACCTCATAAAAACATAAACATACACACATGACAGGAGCTTCTTATCAGCCAGTTAACCTACTCAAGGTTATGTAATCTTTAATCGTATTTATTGCTACCGTATGTTAGTAACAGCAGGATTCTTCGTGTGGAGGGAAGCCATAAAAGAAACAGAAAGCCATTCACACAATCGATTTAAACAAAAGAGAGAAAACTGTTGGAATTTAAAGAGCGCAGGGAAACAAATAACCTTTGAAATGATTCTCTCTCCATTTTCCCCATTTTTCAAACACTGAGTTTATCCCATTGGGTCATTATGAAACTTCGAGACAAAAGCTTTCTAATCCTGGCTCTTCTGCACTGCCTTTGATGGTTGGGCGTGCATGCAAGTCAATGAGCGTGTATGCGTGTGTGTTCGTTTGCCGGTTTAAAAGAAGAAACAGCAGGTGGACTCTATCAAACACAGCAGAGCATATGGCGAAAGATGATGGTAGAAATTAGTATCCGGGAAGCATCGGCTCCTCCTCCCAAATCCCAAGAATATTAAATCCCGCTGTGGGACTAAAAGTTTGCACCAAACAAAGAGCCGGCACCTGCCTTAGTTGGTCCCAAGAAACCGCTGCTGTCAAGGAACTGCGATGCTTTTGTTGGCCTACATCGATAAACCACGCCTCCCTCTCCACAATCCATCCAGTCCTCTGATTCCCTCGCCGCGGCTTTATTCTTTCACATCACATCTTTCTCACGTTAATCTGTGTTTCTACTTTCGTGCCAGCACCCCCCACATGTATGTGTAGGGTTAGTGAGCTTATTGTGTTTCTGTGTGTGTGTGTGTGTGTGTGTGTGTCTGTTTGTCTGTGTGTGTCTGTGTGTGTGTGTGTGTGTGTGTGTGTCTGTGTGTATAAGCACGCCTTTTAGGCAAGAGCACTAGTAGACCTCTGGTTGGACGCTAAAGCCAGGGTAGCTGGGGGAAATTAAAGTAAGGACTTATCACCACAGAAGGAAGAAGCTCTTATAGTGGCTCAGTAGCTGCTCAGTATTCTCATTGCACAATAGAAGCCATAGTGGATTGTACCACAATACACCGAATGGACGCTCTTTGGGAATTTCTGTTTTACATTCTATAAAAAAAACTGGAAAGTTTCGAAGTTCATGTGTTTTTGATTTATGACTTAACTTGCTTCTCTTTGTTATACCCAGAGAAGATGCACAAAATGAAAGGATGAACGTCAGGTTACTTTAGAAGCAAAGGCGGTGCGTTTTGCAACATCTTGCATTTGTTAGGCTGTGGTTTTTGTATCCCTGTGTTTGCTTTATGACATATCTCTAAATGTTTGACTGTGTTCATTAGACCTTAGCAGTGCTTTTGGAGTCCACAGGATAAAATGTATATTGATCTAGCACAATGGGCAGCCAGAAAATGCACCACATTCACTGCAGTGAGTTTGCCAACTCCATTCACTGAGGTGGATTTTATAGACAACTAACAGTGCCCGGCCTTCGCTGTTAGTGAGGGCCTGGATTCTAGAGGAGGGAGAAACCGTAGACATTTCTTTACAGCCAAATTAAAGCATTGAGTTAAAAAAAATGACTTCTTTGTCTGAAAACGACAGCAAGTCACATTAAAAATGTATGCATGCACGCAGCCTGCAAGTCCTTGGGCTTATTTGATAGGGTTATGTTTTCAAAAAAGCAACATAGAACTATTAAATCAAGCTGTATATTTTTTTTCATTTCATATCTTTTTTCTTAAAAGCACTTCTTTCCTTATCGGAGAGGAACAGCCTTTTACCATGTTCTGACTGTTGATGTTATATAGTTTGTGACGCACGTGCTTGGAACGTAATAAACTCAACAACCAGCTGATCCAAGCTGACTTGGCCAGAGCGTGAATGAGTAAAAAAACAACTACACATAAGAAATATTAGAATAGAGCCTGTTGTGATGTTAAAAATATCGGCCAATATATTTAAATATGAGATTTTCAAATCAAGAAATTCCAATATAGGTCTTAAAATCCTCTATTGATCCAGCTCTGATAAGAAAAGAATGAGACCTTCATTTTTAGTTGTGTTTTCTACACAGTACAATTCTAAACATCAATAAAAACGCCAGGAATAATTTTTGTTTTGGTTATCAGCATGCTGATATTAACAGCCATATAACCGTTTTATTTGGTTCTTTTGAGCCAGTTCTGATATTTAGATGAGTGTTTAATCATTAGCTAATGCTAAGCAAGCTTGATTAGCAAGCTGCATCCATAAACCATACAGATTTGTTGGATGGGCTGTGCCTCAAAGGAATAATTATTTATCAGATAATCCCACAAACCTGGAGATGCCTGAAACTGCAGATGGCTTCCACAGTTCTCAGTAGAGGTTTGTTCTTTGGTTTTTTTATCATTTGATTTTTCACGTGTTCCACAAAGGAGGCCTACATGTCTGACTGTGACGCTACAGAATACTCTGTAAGTCATGTGTGGAAAAGTGAAGAATATGTTGACAAAAATAATAGAACACCGTTTACCAGTGCTTTATTTTACCTTTAAACATAGTTTACATTTTACATTCACACACTAATGATCTCATATTTACTAATTTGCATAACCGAGGTAAGCATTTAATTTATGTATGACATTTAGGTTCCTCACTTGTTGTGGTAAAGGTCAAATCATTCGGCCTGTGCTTATGTCCCAAACCTAAATTGGCAGGCCTTTAGTGAACTGTCACTTGGAAACAGTCACCTGGTGACGCGCATCTTTTTTAATATTGTGCTGAATAATTTCACCCTAAATAAACAGTTATTGTAGATCACTGAAACAGAACAGAAATCTCTGTTTATTTAATGTGTCGTTTTTTTCCCCCCCTTTTTTCTTTTGATTTATTCCAACTTATTATGCTTCTCTTTCTGTCTCTCTGTCTTTCTTTCTTCCTTCTCCGGTAAGCATTTTAAATCAGGGTCACAGTAGGGAGGCAGGCTAACAGGTTCAGCTCCGCACACACATCTCTATCTCTGCATTCATCAAAGCATACTATATTTTCTCTCTCTCTGTGTCGCTCTGTAGGGAGTTTGGCTGGAGGGATCCAGAGCTGCCAGAGGTGATCCAGATGTTGCAACATCAGTTCCCATCAGTTCAATCCAATGCTGCTGCTTACCTCCAGCACCTCTGCTTTGGAGACAACAAGATCAAATCTGAGGTATCAATCACTGAGGGAAACCTGCACAGACACAAGATTCTCACACACGGAGAAATTAAATATGTCATATTTAATTGACATAAATTAAATTATTTAATTTAATTGATGTCATAGCGCTACAACATAATGTTGCTTACACACACACATGCATGCTTTAACTCTGTAATTTTAATCAGAACACCCACTGAAATTCTCTCCCAGGGCTTCCTCTGGTGCAGATGAACATTAAGGTAGAGTTTGAGTAACGTTCTGTGGTTTGCTGAACATTTTTTCGTCAGTGCTTTCTGTGCCACAAGTACGATTTCAGAGCTAGGTGCTCTATGACTCTGCGTGTGTGTGTGTGTGTGTGTGTGTGTGTGTGTGTGTGTGTGTGTGTGTGTGTGTGTGTGTGTGTGTGTGCTCGCATTAAAAATGTTTTTCATACTTATGGAACAGACAAATGGTGAAATAATACTGCAACTTCTCCACGGTGCTTTCTGTGTGGATTCACCAATAATGTTCCTGAAGCAGACTGCCTGTGGTCATTCTAGCATTGCAGCGCATCAGTTATCTTGCCAGCGGGCCTTACTTAAATTACACATATTGACATTTTGGAACAAACAGTAGTCTTTATTTACATGGCACCTCCACAAAGTGCTTTTTTCTGAAAACAATCTACAGCAACATAACATTTTAAAAAGAACACAGTAAAGAAAATCAACTATATATTGAAACAATGTATGCAAAAAAAATTAAAATAAGAAGTGACTAATTTTAGATAAAATTGTGAAAACTGGATAATCAATAAAGCAGTTAAAAGCAACCCAGAAATAACAAATGAATGCAGAATGCATCAAAACAAAACAAAACGGCAAAGTAGCAGATAAGTACGCCTGCTTTTCACTAGAGTTTTTTTAAGACAGACCCAAGTCTCTGATTTGTCCTGATTGTCTGTAAATGAGTTGTTCTAAATGCACCCAAGCACCATCATCTTTGATCATGGGTCACCATGAGAGAAAACAAAGTTTCGAGTCTTTAAAGCCAAATATATATCGTTTTTGACTATTCTTACGGTGGCCCTGAAAGATCAAACACACTGCAACCAGCTTGGGAAGTGATGATAATATTAAATCAAAACATACATTATCTGCATCTTTTTCTCCCTCCCAGCACAGAAGAATCTTCTGCTTCTTTTAAGCGTGAATCAATGTGGTCTTTCCCGTGTTTTGCCTTCAGTCACTTCCACGGCTATTCCCTCACGCTGCTGTTTCCCCCAAAAACACTCCTGCTGTGAGAGTTGTTCCAGCTTTTTTTCCTGTTTGCTGGTGTTTTCTTAAGTCGCAGTGTGTTTGACCTCTCAGGGCCACCCTATATTCTTTGTCCGTTACACCAGAAGATTAAAACACTAAACAAAGTAAATGCTAACAATCAAAGCATTCATTCCGAATAGGTCTGATGCTCGGAAACCCAAAGGATCCGTCGCCATTGTTTGCGGATGCTTAGGAGCGACTTGAGGAACATGACAAAGAGTCCAAAGTGGAGCAAGATAATACAGAACACCCCCAGATGGCTGTGTTTGCAGCACAAGGGGGCCCTACCCAGTATTTAGACAGAGGTTTTGCTGTTGTAACAGATTTATGTCTATTGATGCTGTTTTCCACCACAGCTGTTTGCTAATTGATCTAATTAACTGAAAGCCCATCATGCTTTAGGGCTGGTCTGGCTGTCCTCGCATCCCGCACAGTGTTTTTTTGTATTCATTTTTCCTCGGAAGTAAACCTGCATGCAAATAGATGCCTTTGTTGAGTTCACTAATGTAATGTTGGCGCTTGTGAGTTCAACCAAGAGTAAAAAAATAAAGTCTTATGTAATTTGTATGTACTGTACCAGGTGCCATTGCTCTCTAACACAAGAACAAAGATAAAGCAAGCAGGGGGTTAATTTTAGCTGAACTCCTCCTGAAGATGAGAATTACAGCTGCTGTTTTCTTCCTCCTTAGTCCTCTTTTGCTTTTTAATATGAATGAGTTAGCTAGTGTGTTTTCATAGAGGGAGGAGAGGAGCTATGTAGTACCAGAGACCAATGTGCAGATCATAATCATGCCACATAATAAATAACTTTATATGATAAATGTTTTATGAAGCTTAAGCACAAAAATCTACACATTGAAAAATCTGGTTAATTTGTTAACTTATTTAGTCCCTAATTGGAATTGATGAAGAAGGCTTTCTCTCAGTGTTCTTCATTCAGGATAAAGAACACCTGATTAGCATCACACATTGTGAGAAATCAGATGCTGAGCTGGAAGGCGGTGAATCTGCCCAGTTTCTTCATAGGAATCTTTTATGCTTTTCTCGGCATTATCTAGTTCTCTTTGTTGCGGCAAGTAATGAAGAGAACTGCAGTATGAAGTATGTGTCTGCACTGCAATATGTGAAGGTGTTGCTGAGTGTAATGCATTACATCAAGAAATGAAGATTGAAGACATGCCTTTGTTCACAATAAACTCTGCCCCAGTCGTGCGCACCTGCAGGAGCTCCGCCACACTGCTCATCAGATGGCATTAACTCCTCATTACGAGCACTTAACCCAGTTTTGCTTATAACTGCGTGCCTACACTTGCTCCTCCTGTCCTTTGGAGCCATCACTGCTCAGTGTCTTGCAGAAAACAGTTTCATCTGTCTCCTCAATGTCAACTCAGTTCAGCTCTGTTCACTTTATTAATCCCCATGGAGGAAATGGATTCGAGGGCAAACAAAGTTCTTCAAACAGCAATGAGCCAACAGGCATTAAAAAATAGAGTGAGGGAGAGACGAGGTTGTGTAAGATGACTGATGAAGTATGGTAGTATGTAGCGCAGGACTGCCAAAACTACAACCCAGGGGCCAAGCTGTTTTTGTCCTTGAGAAAGATGCCTGACTGGTGAAATAATAGACAGAGAGATCTCAGCCCGTTCCCATTCTCAAGGTGTCAAATACTGCTGTTATTCCAGAGCTGTTGGCATTCCCAAAATTACGCATAAGATGTGTTTTGTGTTTGTGCGTGAAACGAGTCTAGACAGTACTAAGTTTGATCTGTCACTTGATTGTAACACTTCTGGGAGACCCCTTGAAATAAAAGCCCTTTAAGCGTCATTTTTCAACTTGCAGAATTATTGTAGCACCCTGTCCTTTAATCACAGGGTGGTTTGGATGTTTTTTTTGTTTTTTTCCTAAACCTTACCAAAACATTATAGTGTCTAAACGTAACCAAGTACTTCAGTGCATTCAGTCATGTGAAAAGGAAAGTTTTCACAGGACTTTCTGAACCCCATGATTCAATACCCTGCAGGACCATGTTTAGCAGTCATTTTCTGCATGACTTTCTCAGTCTCTCACATTATTGCAGAGTAATTGCGTCCCATTCTTCTGTACGAGATCGTTTCAGTTCCTTACGATTTATGAACATCTGTTTATGCACAGCTCTCTTAAGGTCCCAGCAGTTCAATCAAGTTGAGGTCCAGGCTTTTTCCACACTGAGATTCTTTTGTCCTGATGCATGATCCCACCACGAGTTGTAGAATGTGGATCCAAACACTCAGACTCAGAATGCAGGAAGGAATTAACAAAAAGAGAACCATTTATTAAGGCTGTTGGCAGATAATCCACAAAAAAGGGATGAAACAAAAAGTCCAAAAAGGAACTGAAAACTATAAAGTATTGGAAACAAAGACAGCTGAACTAAATCACAGAGCAAAAGCAAAGCACAGCTATCAAAATAAAGCAGGAAGTGAGATAACTAAACAGGGAAAACACACACGTGAATGAGGTCGACACAAGAGGATGGGAACCCTGATGAAGGAAATAGACTCTAAAGCATCTATGAATTAGACTAAATACACTGAAAATACATGAATCAAACCATGAGTCGAATAGATTATTTAAATAAACAAAACCTGAAAGCCCAAAAACCACAAATACCATGTCAAATGACCCAGAACCTTGACAGACCCAGTTTAGCTGTCAGAGTTGGCCTACATTTGACTCTGGAGTACTTTGGTATACAGAGTAGTTCATAGTTGCCTCAGTGACTGGTACGTGCCCAGGTCCTGCAGCTGCAAATCAATCCCAAATCATCACCCCTCCACCACCGTGTTTGATAGTTGGGATGAGGTATTTGTGCTGATATTCTGTGTTTGTGTGTTTGTTTTTAGACAAATGTGGCGCTTTGCATTATGACCAAACATCTCATCTTTGGTCTTGTCTCAAAGGGTCCTTGAAAGTAGAGTAATACATACTAATACGTATGTTTACTTCAATTCCACAACTGTTCTGTTTTGTTGCTAACAATAAAACTCTCCGGCATGATGGCGCCTGTGTTTGGCTTTGCCGCTGTCGGGTGTAGCTGTTTTCGCTCTATTGTTGTGTTTTTTCTCTCTACTCTGCTGTTTTTTAACTGTTTTAATGATGTTCTGGCTGCCTTGGTCTACGACCGTCTGACGCTATTATCCATCCGTTCGTCAATGACGGCCACGGCCAAAGATGTTTTTTCCTCTTCCTTTTGTGGGACTTTCCATTCTCCACTCTTTTTCCCGCATTCCTCTGGTACCTTCCACCCTCTGCCTGTGACTGAATCTTCGGCCAACGCTTTCAGCGTTCCCCGTAGACTATGGAGAAGAAGAGGAAAGAGATCAGGCATCCAGGTGAAGCTTAGGCTCCTTTGGTGGCGGGGGCTGATTAGAAAGCGATGTCGGGCGTTTTCTGTTGCCTACGCACATGACAGCTATATGGAGAGGCCTGGCTCTCGTGTTATCTCAGAAGGGTTCATCCAGACTCTTCTGCTGACTGGTTTTTTATCCCCTCGGTGAGTGGAATATATGAACATGAAGGCTCTGATCTCGGGAATTTACGCCCTTTAGCTCGAGAAACTCGAGCTTCTACCAACAACAATGTTTTCACCCCGCTGTCTATGGCGCTCTTTAATGCCCGATCTTTGGCGAATAAATCGTTTGTGCTTAACGATTTCATTGTTTCTAAAAATCT